GCGTCCCTCAGTCACTGATACCTTAACTGTCCTTCGTCTGATTACCGTATCAGCCCCACCAGAAACTCACACTGAACGAGGGCTCCAGACTGCGCACGTAATGCCACCACCGCGGGGGAATGTACAGCATCTCACCCGAGTGTACAATAGCCTCCCACCCCTCCGCATGCACGTAGGCGGGATAGGTGTCCACGTCAACGGACTCAGACGATTTGATCTGCGGGTGATGGTATTGCGGGGCGGATGTGGCGTAAGGGCAACACATGAGATGATGTGTGCAGCAGACGCTCTGTACAAGAAGCACAACAAACGCCTCCGCAACACAACGCACATGCACAGCCCCGATGTTTGGAGAGGAATGGTGAAGCACTTGGTTAGATACCCACCGGCAAGCAATGATAGAGCAGATAATGTTGAAGTAAGCATGAAATGACAAACTAAACCCTAACCCCTAAAGCAATGATTGAGTAGGCAATATTAGAGTAGGCATGGAATGACAAAGTACACAATTGTAACCTACGCAACGACAAGGAAAGCAACGGTAAAGTACGAAATGTAAAGTACCTGGCTAGTATTGGCCAACAACTCATCGGCGTAGGGGTACAGACACGACGACATCTGAGGCGAGAACAGCCGCAGATACTTTGACCCCACCACTTGCGCAAACAGGTTGTGATCCGGATCAAAGTGCAGAGGCGATTCTGTGTGCGCTGGGCCTGGAGTGTTTGCGAGGTAAGGCGTAAGCAATCGTCACATAACACACAGAGATGGACACATGAACAGACACAGCACAAACATCAACAGAATAAACGCTTCAACTTATGAAGGTATGAACTACTGCGGTATGGTGTCGTATACAAATATTGGTACTATAGCTATATAGGTACTAAAGCTATTATAGCTATATATAGGTACTATAGCTATATATAGGTACTATAGCTATATACGGATACTATAGCTGTATATAGGTAATATAGCTATATATAGGTACTATAGCTATAAATAGGTACTATAGCTATATATAGGTAATATAGCTATATATAGGTACTATAGCTATACATGGGTACTATAGCTATATATAGGTACAATAGCTATATATAGGTACTATAGCTATACATGGGTACTATAGCTATATATATAAAGGTACTATAGCGTACTTTAATGGCGCACTATAGCGTACTATATATATTGATTACCTAGCCACGCATTCAATCGTACGGTGTCGTCTGCATCGTCGTTGTTGTTGTCGTCTTCGTCTGAGGCGGTTGTGGCATGAGCTTCCGTTGGACTAAGGCAGCAGTAGTCAGGGATAACCACATCCGCTCTACGCAAGTGAAGGAGATAAATGTCACACACTACCACACATACATACATGCCACACACTACCACACTTACATACAGGACACACACTATCACACTTACATACATGTAACACACTACCACATACACACATGTAACTACCACACTTACATACATATCACACACTACCACACTTACATACATGACACACAATATCAGACTTACATACATGTCACACACTACCACACTTACATACATGACATACACGACCACACTTACATACATATCACACACCACCACACTTACATACATATCACACACTACCACACTTACATACATGTCACACTATACCACACTTACATACATGTCACACACTACCACACTTACATACATATCACACTACCACACTTACATACATGTCACACTACCACACTTACTGTAACACACTACCACACTTACATACATGACACACACTGCCACAAATAGATTAGACAGCAGGGATATAGTAGCATTGGGAGCGCAATAATGCACACTCATCGTATATGTTTGTGTGTTTTGTTCTCGAGTAGTTGGTCAGTCGACTACATTGTGCATGGGCGTGTATTCTAATAGATCACGAGTATACAATCATATATGCAGACATACAAATATAGATACAATACTATATAGAAACATATTTACATACCTATATGCAGACATAGATACACACCTATATACAGACATAGATATATTATATAAGTGAACGCTGAGCTACATAGTAGCACTATATACTTCTCTACAACTTGCAACTAAGAAAAAGGATTTACATATTGCCAACAAAGTTTTCGCTCACGTTCACAGCACAGCTAGATTCTCAGCGCAGTAACTATGTAGCATATACAATTTACGTTCAACTCCGAACAAAGATATAGCAGGTATCAGCTGTGTGCGTACGAACGATATGCCATCGCTTTGCTTCAAATGCGACAGAACACGTACAGTGGATCAGAGGTGCAGAAGCACTATGCCGACAAATTCAAAAGACCTGTGCGCATATTCAAAGGCAATGCTCCTACCAGTACAGAAGGCGCACACGAACATATACACACATACAAACATGCACATACACATATACATACACATACACGTACACATACATATACACACACATACACATACACATACACAACACATACACATACACATACACATACACACACCCATACCCGTACACATACACATACACATACATATACAAATCCACACACCCATACACATACACATACACATACACGTACGCATACATATACAAATACACAGACACATACAAAGATACAATACATCCGTTTTGTGTATCTGACTCGATATATCAACTGCGCATGCAGCACAGGAGTCTCTAGAGACAACAGATTGATAACTGTGTGCGCTTGGCAATCAAAAGTAGTTGCGACTGCAAGACGTCTGAATTGCAGTAGTGGCGTACCTGAGCTCAGGAATCTGATCAAACAAGTTGTGCTGCGCAAGATATCCCTTATCTGTAGGCAAGGATATGAACGGAGGGAGACACAAGGGCAGGGCATTCAGTTGGTGTGTGAGGTGATGTGGTGCGAATCGAATGGGCATGACATGTCATGGTTGATTAACTGTCTACACACACACACACACCGGGAACCACAGAGAAGTAACATAGTCATCACATACTACACACATACACGCATAGCCTATACATAATAGCATAGCCTACACACACACGCATAGCGTACACACACACACAACCTACCCACACACAACCTACACACACGCATAGCGTACTCCCACACACATTCCCTATACATGGTCCACATCCCGCACACAACGCCACTTGCAGCCTACAACACCATCGCCAAAGCACGCACACACACACTTACGCAGCGCATTGGGTGTGAGGTAGTCGCAGAAGAACTGCCCCACCGACATGAGCCTCTGCGCCCACGCGGCGTCGGTGTAGCGCTCACCAATCTCAATGGGAACTGTGCGGTGGGCATATCGACGGTAGACACTCGCCATAGACCATCTGCGTGTGTGTAGGGCAGGCCAGTGCTACAGGCGACCCGGAGACAGGGAGTGGGCGGGCGAGAGAGCGGGGTGTGGGTGGTGTTAGTAGGTGATGTCGTAGACACGCACAGAGTGGGTGTGTGTTGATTGCTGGTTGTGTGAATGTGTGTGAGCTGACTGCTGATTGTGTGAGCGTGTGTGTTGTGTGTGTGTGTTGATTGCTGGTTGTGTGAGTGTGTGTGTTGTGTGTGTGTTGAGTACTGGTTGTGTGAGTGTGTGTGTGTTGTGCGTGTGTGTTGATTGCTGGTTGTATGAGTACATGATATGTGACCACCACGTAGACGTGTGGGTTTTTATGAGGGCGAGGAACCAATGGCGGTGCGTGTGAGCTGTTGTTGACTGGCCGGTGCTACAAATACGATCATTG